TTTTCTTCTATTCTTTTAGTATAGTTTTAATATAATATATACCATAAAATAATAAATCAGCCTTCTGAATCATGGAGTCAGATCCTCCTCTCTTCCCTCATCCTGGGACCCCTGTGAGAACCACCACACCATGGCAACCTCAGCTCTCCCCCAGAGGAGCTGGGCTGCCCTCAGATCCAGCTTTCCTGTCCTGCCAGGCAGCAGCAATCCCAGTTTCCCTCGTGGAGGGGATCCCTGCTGAGCCAGCATCCCTGGGCTGCCACTGCTGCTGCTCCTTGGCTGAACTGCTGGGCTGAGAGTCAGCAACCAGCAAAGGTCAGAGTGAGTCAACCACCAAACCCCAGGCAGGACATGCAGGGTTTCTACTGTGGAAATGCACTTTCAGGCTGGCTGTGGCTGGCCAGGGCTGGGATGAGGCAGGTTAACAACTATTCCCAGCTCATTAGCACTGTGAACACAACCCTGCTGCTCCCTGTGCCCTCACCAGCAGCACCCAGATATTTGTCCTTCTGCCACCTGGGCAGGCTGCAGCGCTCCTTTGACAGCTGTCAATCAGCAGAGTGCAATTAATTGGCTCAGCCTCTGAGATGAGCCCTTGCAGCCCTGGGGTGCAGGGGGGAGATGGGGCAGGAGGGTCATTTCTGTCATTTCACAGTCTGTGCACAGAGCTGAGCACACACAGCCCTCCTGGAGGCTGCCTGGCTCGTTAGCTGGAATCTCATTAAAGCTGGAGGAGTTCTTCTTCAAAGCTTTGGCCCCTCAGAGCACAAGGTCACTACAGCACTGCTCTGTGGTAATTACACCAACCAGCATTTGCTTTCTCCTGCACTAATTAGCAAGTGGAGAAAGTTAAGAAACCAATGTAGAACCCAACAGGATTGTCCAGGTGATCCAGGTTTTTGGTTTAATTACATATTTTCACTTTTCCAAAAGTTTCCCCTGAGATGCTTCTTCCAGCTTTGTAGAAGACATATATGAGAAAAGGAATGAAGTGAATTAATCTCTGAAAATTTCAAGGATTTATGTGAAACCTTCACACTAATGAACCTACAATATCCTTTCCATGTAGGGATACCCAGTACTCAGAGGACTGCAATCCCAAAATTGCTTTTTTTTTCTCCCCATGGACTAAGAGAAGAGCCTTGTGGTGGCTGTCTGCAGGAGTAGGTAGCAATGGAACCATGAGTCTGAGGGTGGTCAGAGCAGGGCCTGTCCCTTCACAACTCCTCTGTGCCCATCCTCCTGCCTCAGGCTGCACTGAGTGACTCCATCTCTGCATTCAAAACTCATTTTCCACCCCAGAGCCATTTGGGGTGGAAACCCGACCTTGTCTCACTGCAGAGCACATCCCCAGGGGTGTGATGCTCTGCTGGAAGCTGCAGCTGTGGATCTCACACCCCCTACTCAGGCCCCAATCCCTTGGCTGTCCTGCACATGTTCAGTGATGGAATCCAACCCTCAATTCTGCATCTCAGTAACTGCAGCACAGCTGGCTCCACTGCAAGCTGGAACTGGGCATTTACTGCAAAGGAGGAGGGGAAAAAAAAAAGATTTAAATAGTGTCAGAGGGAAGCAATTAGCCCAGCTCCAAAGTCAGCTTACACTTGTGCCCCAGCCAGTTGGCACACACATGATCTGTGGTGCTCAGCACTGCAAACATTTTCCTGGAAGAGCTTTGGAGAGTCTTGTTTCAAGCACTTGAGTGCTCATAGTTGTTCATTTCCATAATGACTCACTGAACACAAGCAGCTTTGTTTTCCTCCTGCAAAATAAGCCATAAATCCAGAGAAATTTGATCCATTTTCTTCAAATGCACAGGGGGCCACGGACACGCGTGTGCATGAGCACACACACAGACACACACGTGCACAGATGCTGTCACTGCAACAGACCCACCACCATTTTCCTGGCACTGATGAGCTGAGACTGTTCCTGCTGATCCAAAAGCTCCATCTGAATCAGCCCAGACTTGTGCCATGAATGATTGTTTTGTTGAAAGGGACACACGGCTTTAAAAGGCATCACAAAGTAAAGAGGAGAGTTTTCCCTAAAGAGAGTGACTTTATTCATCTTTGCCTTCCTGCCAGGAGACAGCAAAGGAAGAAGCTTCTTTTGAAGGGAGGAGACATGAGCATGTTTCCAAAGCCTCTGGTGCACAGGGAAAAAGGCAGCAGCCAGACCTTGATCGTGTTCATTTTTCTCTTGTCTCAGAGGCATGACTGACAATACCACTGCTTGGAGGATGGCATAATCCAGCTTGTAAGGCACCTCAGGAGCCTCCAGTCCAAACCCCCCACTCACAGCAGGCTCAGAATGTTGCTCAGGGCTTTATCCATTTGGGTCTTAAAAAATCCTCAAAGAATCTCCCACCCTCACTGGGAAACCTCTGCCACTGCTTAACTGCCTTTATGAGGAAAAACTTCCTCTTTTCTCCATCTTATCTGGCTCTTTTTTGTTACAGTTTGCCTGTTCCTCCTGTCTCAAGCCACTGTGAAGGGCTTGGGTCTGTCAGCTACCTTGAGGTACTGGCAGGCTGTAGTTAGCTCCATCCAAAATCCTTTCCTCATTTTGAATCGGGTCCTTTTGCATCTCTGCACATGGAGAGTGCTCCAGACCTGAGCACTTTGGTGCCCCTGTGGCTGATCTTGCTTTAGTTTATGAATATCTCCTGTGCTGGGGTCACCAAACTGGGCACAGCATCTGGCTGTGGTCTAAGGAGTGCAAAGTAGAATAATAATTTCCTTCAAAACATCCCAGAGCTTTGCTGCCAGGTCACACGCCTGGTTTGGGTTGATTTCAGCATCCATGAGCTCCCTGGGTGCTTTTCCACACTGCTGCTCCTCAGCCAAGTCCTCACCTTCAGGAGAGGCCAAGGAACTCCCCAAGACATCTGGGGAACAGCTCAGCAGCTCTGCTCACAGGTATCCTGGATAATCACCAAACCATTGATTCACAGTTAAAAGGCAAGATCAACATCACTCAGTGCAAATTCAGAAATATTTATTTGTTTTCTTGGCATGCGGGTGTGTGGCTCACCTCCAGCATTTTTATGAAGGGCTACCCAGGGAAAATGGAAGTTCTTGCTTATCTGTTTTGCTCCCAGGTGTTTTCTCCTGGGCTGATTTCCAAAGAGCTAAAGTCAAATTAATCAATTTCTGAGCACCCCATGCCTTGGGATGCCATCAGCAGCTACTCTGGCTGGTGTTCCCAGGAAAGGAAAGCATTTTGTCATCCAGCCTGGATGTCCCAAATGCTGTTGGTGACAGATGTTAGCTGTCCACCTCTGGGACCAGAGATGCAGCAGAGACAAGAGCAGCACCACTGCTGTCAGGAGAGTGAACTGTGAACTTCTTCCAAAGTCCTGGGGGTGAGAGCTTGCAGAGCTGACAAGGTTATTTTAATTTTCTTCATGCTGCACAATTTCCTTGGGTAGGTACCAGGTGCAGTGGGAGATCAGCCACCTGACTTACTAAGACACAAACCACATTTAACTTTAACTATTTATTGTCTTAAATGTTCAGGGAATACTATTGTAAGTGAGACTAGGGGCACTGCAGCAACAGCCCAAAACACTGGCACAAAGTGGGTGCCCTGGCTCTGATACATTCCAGTGGCTCACTGAGGTAACTCTAAAGGACCCCAGAGTTAACCATTAGTTCACTGCTTCAGCTGCCAAATTTCTTCTCTATCTCTACTCAGACCTGCTCCATGTCTGCTACACTCCTGGCAGCATCAATAACCTGCAATTTCTGACAGAATCTGCTGCCCTGCAAATCCCTTCTTCCTCCCAGCATGGCCCAGAGCCAGAGCAAACACAGAGATACTCACAGTGCATGTTTCTAACCTGTAGATGTGTCCCTCCCTTCAAACACAAGATGCCAGGGGCTGGGCATTGCTGCTGTGAGGAATAAAAGAACTGACCCAATCCTTGTCACTGTCATATTTTCTGGAAAAATCCCTTTGCCAGGATTTCTCTCCTGGGAAGCTGAGAAGCCTCAGAGGAAAAGGAAAACAATTCTTATCTCATTTGCTTCTCCTGTGTTTTGCTGCTTTGGAATGTGTTTGGAGATTGTTCACCCACAGGTGATTGTTTCATTGGATTCTGCTGGGAGTTGTTTTCACTCTTTGGCCAATCAGGGACAAGCTGTGTTGAGACTCTGGAGAGAGTCAGGAGTTTTTCATTATTATCCTTTTAGCATTCTGTCTGTACCCTTTCTGTATTCTTTAGTATAATTTAGTATTCTTTTATATAATATAGACCATAAAATAATCAATTAGCCTTCTAAGAACATGCAGTCAGATTCAACATTCCTCTCATCAGGAGTCTCAGAAAATACAGCAGGTCCTCTCTCGTCAGGCACTCAAATCTCCTTCCTCCCTCTGTTATCTCTTTGAAGCACATGAGTCCAAATGAGTTAGGAGAGGGAAAAGTTACAAAATGTTGTTTATTTAAATTTGCTGTTCATTGCCAGCAAGCTCAAAGTTGAGTATGACTGAGCTGATAGGACAGACAACCACCCCCCCCCCCCCCACCCCCCATAAGCAGGGGATTTATAACAATGTTTTCCAAGAGATTTTCCAGCCCCTGAAAACTAGAGCAACATAAATCTGGAGGTTTAAATCAAGCTCGTGCTGAAAAGTCCTATAAAACATCTGAAGAAAATTCAGAGTAAGCTTGATAAAAGTGGAAACAGCAAATTACTCCAGCTCTGTTGAGATGCAGGTGATGGAGAATGTATAACACAACATTTTTCTTACTGCTGTGGCAAAGCCCAGTGGAGAGAGTGCAGAGGGCCAGGGATCCAGTACGAAACCATGAGCTGAGAAGGGAGGCAATTCTTCTTGCATTTAAATGCCCCCATGTCAGGATATTATCATGAGGTTGTTCTTCTTCTTGGCTCACTATACCAAACAGGATTTCCTTCCCTGATTTTAGCTGCAATACCACTCTCAAGACAGATGTCCTCTTCCTTTCCAGAGTTAAAGAAAACGATGCCTGGTTTTATTGAAACCAACCCAGAGTAGTGTTTATTATTGAAAATATACAGTTTTCTTGAACATCACATAAAAAGCCTGGTAGATACAACTGCTCTAGTTCAAAATGCTCAATAGATACTTTTGTGCAGCACGTAGCATTATCCTTGGAACACAAATATCCTCTTCTCATCCGTATTATCTTTACAGTGCTTCCCTTTTGTGTTTTTTAAACCCAGAAGAGCTGTCCTTCCCTGCCCTAATGCTCTGAGCTGAAAACAAACCACTTTCCAAAGGCTTTCCACTTACACTGTGCTTGGAAGCGTGGGGCTAAGAGGAATGAGAGTATTTTGTAGAGCCACTTAGAGCTACTCCTGTCCTTTGAAAATCTGTGTAAGAGCAGGGCATGGTGCTCACCAGGCAAAGTGCCCTGTGTGGAACAGTCCAGCGATGCCCTGACAATTCCCAGTCTGTCCAAGAGAGAAATGGGGAAGGCAGATAAATTCAGGCTTTTCACACCTTTTCACCATTCAGATGCTCTTTTTCTTGCTGCCACAAGTTCTCAAATGACAGTTTTGCACAGAAGAAACATTTTTACAAAGAAAACAAGAAAGGGATGGGCTATTATACACCAAAACTGTTGAAATCATTGGGAATCAATGTACAGGGTGAGATGGGCAGTGTGTTCAAAACAGTTTGCTCACCGCAATATGAAAGGGGGAATATAAACAAACAAAAAAAAGAAAGTAAGGTGAAAAAAAAATTGATTATTCCTGCCAGTGTGCTGTTTTAGACTTTGCCTTGTGAACTTCCACAGGATGCAGTCAGGGTCGAACCTGTTCCTTCTTTGAATCTGTTTTACCACCACCAACTCCAAGAGGCTTTTTCCTGGTTGCCTCCAAGCAGCATCGCGGACGTGGGAGATGAAACAGGATGGGCCCCTCACTGGAAAGAGATCAGTGGGGCCAAAGGAGCAGAGTTTGCAGGTTGCAGGAAGGGGCTCTGGGGCGGGAGTGGAGACAGGAGAGCTCTGAAGGCCACGGGGTGGTGTTGGTGGTGGTGGTGGTGGTGGTGGCGGCGGTGGCGGGTCAGACGGCCGCGGTCTGTTTGATGCTGTGGAAGCTGATGCGCGTGGGGGACGTGGGGATGGACATGGCCCGAGCCACGCGCACCCGCAGGGAGTGGTGGTCCTGCCAGCGGTGCCACCTCTTCCTGGCAGCAGAACGCACCTGGGGAGGAACACAGGGCACAACATGAAGGCACAATTTCAGGTTTAATTTCAGAATTTCAGAATTTCAGCCGCAGGGAGTGGTGGTCCTGCCAGCGGTGCCACCTCTTCCTGGCAGCAGAACCCACCTGGGGAGGAACACAGGGGACAACGTCAAGGCACCATTTCAGGTGTAAAGGGAAGCTGGACAGTGCTGGGACAAGCAAGTGAAAAACAGGAGAAAGGAACCCTAAAACTCAAACAGTGGGAGGGAAGGCTTGAAATTGTCACAGGTGATGCCTTAAGCTTTTAAAGGGGGGGGAGTGATGCCTTAAGGTTTAGCTTTCATATTTTCCAGATTCTGTACTGCATTGGTATATAACTCTGAACTTCATATAAAGTGTTAGCAGGTTCTCCTCACAGTTCAGTCCCACAAAACAATCCTTTTCCAGCCCCAGAACCAAGGACACCATTGCAGCTTCAGGCCCAAAAAGTGCAAACAACAGCAAATTGAGGAGAGCAATCTGGGAGGATGGGACTGCATAACCTGGAGCTGTAATTGGACAATTAACCCCAAGATGGAAATGGACCAAAACTTATAAAAGTTGAAACTCATGACCCAGCATCCATCTTGGATCCACCTTGGGTAGAGCCATGGCCAGGCTCTTGTGCTGCCCAAGGTGTATCCTTTGAAGGCCTTTTTAATAAATCCCTACTTTATTCCTTTAACTCTGTCCAGCCTCTGTTCCAGGTCAGCCTCTTTAGGCACCACAGGGACTGATTCAGATGCCTGAATGGGAGCTTCTAATTCACTGATGTTCTCTTGAGTACTTAACTCGGAAAAAGCATTTTACACACCTCATGTCTCGTATCTGGTGTCTTAAATACCTCAGAGCATTTCCAACAAGTCTAAACATTCACAACTGAATTGAGCCCTCAGGATGGCTGGACCTGATGGAAGGTGCATCCAGGTCTGTCAAGGACCTGATGGAATTCTTGGAGAGCCCCATCCCAGGGGCCCCTGCTGCCCTTGGATGTGAAGAATCACAGGGGATCTCACCAAGCTCTGGCACACCTGACCCAGCACCTCCAGCAGGTCAGATGAACCTTGAATTTAAGTGTAATTTTTTTTTTTTTCCCCTTGGAGCATAGAGAGAGCCCAGGAACTCTGGCTCAAATATATACATATATAAGCAAGAGAAAAACAGGAGAAGGGAACCCTAAACCTCAAACACAATGAGAGGGAAGGCTTGAAAAACTCCTAAAATAGACCAAATCCCTGCAAAATCCCTGGCAGGGAAGACTCAAAGTCAGAACCTGGCATGAAGCATTTGGACCAATTTCTGGATATTCTGTTGATATCTGCTTACTGTAGAGAGGAAACCAATTCAAACCCATAACCCAGGGAGATAAATAAGCCTACAAAATTAGGTGAGAGGAATCTGGGCCCAGATTTCTGAAGAGTCCAAAGCCTGGACTGTTCATGACACTTGGAAAGGATGCTGATGTTCTGCTGCCAACCTGGAATCTAGTGAACTTTGGAAGAAGCATTGTTACATAAAACTGTATCAAGCCAGAGCCTCCTTTAACCAAAACCATCATTTTTTACAAAGAGGGGTTATAGATAATGCAATATAGACATTACACCTCAACCTATAGATCTATAGATCTCCTATAGATCTCCTCCTCACCAAGAGGGAACCAGTCAGTGTGGTCAAAGTGGATGATTCATCTCCTTCTAAAGCAGGTGTCCAAAACAGACCAGATATTTGTGGTCAGATGAAAAATACCTATTTCCTTTAATTGGTTATAAAATGAGTCTAGACAACAAGCTCTATTTAAGATGTCTGGATTATAAATTTAGGTAAGTTCAGACAATATTGTTATCTAATCATGGATATTTTTTAGTCTTTATCATGTACTTATTTTCACTGCATCCCCCAAAAGTAAAGGATTGTTTGAAGCCCCATTTTACCACAGGCAAGGGGAACTTTGGGCATTATCAGCAGTGATGCTGTTGTGGAGGAGACCTCAAAGGCATCAGCTGCCATGGCAACTGCACAAGGCCTGGGAGGAGCTTTCAGAGCCTGTGAAGCCCTTGCTGGCCTTGCACAGGTTCTCAGCTCTCAGCACCTGGGTGAGGTCAACCCAAGCCACCCTGGGCGTGTCTGTCACCACCACTGGCGCTGCAGGGAAGGTGGAGTTGAAAATAAAATTGCCAAAGATGAAGAAACATTGCTTTTCTTCATTTATTTGAGAGCCTGGGGACTGTCTGCAGGGGCTTTGTGAGGTCTACTCAAAACACAAGGAACACACAGAACAGCTCAAATGTCCTGTCTAAGTGTGCTCAGATGAGTTGAAACACCTCAGGATTGGAGGTGTTTCCAACCCAAACCACACACCCTGTCAGTTTTAGGTGCCCCAGATGAACAGGGTGAAGGCCCCATGGTTAAAACACAGAAGAGTTCACAAGGAGGACACAGAAAAGGGGAAACTGCTCCTCTTCTCTTGGCTGGTTTCAATTTCTGGGTAGGCTTTCAGAGCCCTGGGCTGTGGCACTGCTTGTGAGAAACTCTGAGCAGACAATCCCCTTCCAGCACAGCTTTGCCCATGGAATACTGCAGGTCTTTGAGTACCAGCCTAGAAAACACTTTTGCAATTGCCTCTTTAGGGCCTTTTCAGAGGAATCCTCAACCTGGAAATGTGGCTTTTCTATCAGAGCCCTTCTAGAGGCAGAGATTGGGCAAATCAGAGCAGAGGGTTTCTTTCTTTGGTTGTGTTCTCAGCTGTGATCTGTGCTACTGCCATGGTTGGCATGGTGGTTTTAGGTCACAGCTTGGACTCAGTGATCTCAGAGGTCTTTTCCAACCTAATTGATGCTTCTGTGATTTAAGACAAGCAGATTTCTAAGGTAAGGTGAGGAGAAAGCTACTCTGGGTTTCTTCTAATTTTCAATCAATGATTTGTTTCAATATAAATAATAATGTTTTTTACACTTAGTAGGGGTCAGACAGAACCTAATGAAACAAAGAATATGGGGGAATAGAGCTGGAGAAAGAGAAGAGAGAACACCAATAAAAGGGAAATTAAAGACAGCACTGCCAGGAAGAGCATGATCATCATTAGTGATTTGGAGATGAGAATGAGAACAATGTGGTTCAACAACAGTGCAGAGGATTTCTGGAAGAGCCTCTCATTATGGAGCAGTAGCTTCAACACCTCTCCAGCAGTTTCACGATGGGGTTTGATCAGGTTATAAAATGAGTATTGAATGGCACAGTTATATGAAATAGCAGAGTCAGGATGGATGGACTCTATCACAAACTGCAGCAGCCTGGACCATCATCCCCTTCTCCCCAAAATGACCTCCCTGGCTCACTGAGCCCTCCTGGGAACCAGGAGGAACACTGGAAAGCTGTGCCATGGTGTTGAACTTGGGAATTCACTATTGGCAAACCTACCGTGGTTCCACCTGCAGTGGATCCTTGCCCCAGGTTCTGGTTGGGAGGGAGGATATAAAGCACACCCAGAAGCAAATCCATGTGCCAGAGTCCATGTAAAGGAGGAGGCACATCCCCTGACAGACTCACTCCTAATCTTGGCCAATTATCACAGAATCACTGAATGGTGTGGGCTGGAAGAGACCTTAAAGTTCATTTTATTCCAGCCCCCTGCCATGGACAGGGACACCTTCCACTGGACCAGGTTGTTCCAACCCCCATCCACTTATTGGATCCATTATTTATGCTTCCAGTACAGACAGTGGAGAAAGAGACACAATTGCCCTGAGGATGGCACTCAGACTTGTGGAATTAAACACTCCTTGCTCCTCTGGGTACAAACCCAGCCTAACTGAATGCTTAAACCAGACAAGTGGTTTAAGTAACACATGAACCACTGTCATGGGAAGCTGTCCCCTGAAGCCCTGAGATGCAGAGGGAAGTTGCTTCTTGAATGCTCCTTTCTCCCCAGATGTCACCAAATGCTGAGGTTTAGAAAAATTTTCTTCCTTTCTTCTGCAGTGAAATTTTGTGGGTTGGGGTTTTTTTTGTTGTTGTTGTTGTTTGGGTTTTAATATTTTTTATTTTTTGTGGGTTTTTTTGTTGTTGAGGTTTTTTTTTTTTTTCCCCTGAGGAACCAGTGTGAAGTGATACTTACTCAGCCACTGAAGCCAGATTAGATTTATCATTTGTGCTTCAAGCCAACCAAGTCAAAAAGAGCCACCTGGAGATAAAGATGTGAGTCTAAACAAGCAGTTGGCTTTTGTGATATGGTTTGAGACAGGATTAAAAAAAAAAATAACAAAAATGCTGTCTTCTTGTACAGCTGGAGCCATTCCTAATGGACTGGGTACGTGGAAATGGGCTCTGCACTTTCAAGGGTGAGGGCAAAGCATTTTTTAATGACAGGATAATTAACTGCAATTAGTATGTGACCAGAGTGCAAGCAGAAAATGTTAAGGCCAAATTTATATCCTGTACTTGAACTCAGAAACAAGATGCTAGGTTAACTTTAGGCAAGAAAAGAAAAAAAAGTGGCTGTGGCTACTGTAATAATGTGTTAAAAGACACCAAAAAAAAGGCTATAGCACAGTGGAAGAGTAAAAGAAAAAGAGAATGCAAAATACCAACTATCAAACACGGTTGTTAATCTCTGTAAGAGCAGCCTCCTCTATTAATTAAGCCTTTCTAGAGTCAAGACCATGTCCCAGAGTCAGCATTAGCACATTTATGACCTGAAATTGCCCAAGGATGCTCTGGGCTGTCATCAGTGCTTAGAGCTCCACAAGGAGCCCTGGAACACAAATTATCAGCCTCACCTCTGTGGAACTTTAGTTGCTTGAGAGGAACCAAAATTTCCCCTGCTCTGAGCACAGAGTGCCTGTGTTGACCCTTGGTCTGGCTCTTTCTTGCAAGCAGGTCCTTTTTCAGAAATGCCCTTTTCAGCTCTTTCTGCCATGTGTAAAGTCAATAATCCCAGTTTCAGAGCTGTGGTCAAATCAGGTTTGCCAACATTCTTTGT